TCCTCCCTTATGCACCTATCTTTATGGTACACTCAGGGTACCATTGCACCTTCTTCAGTGCTCATGTGGAGTTGACCTGCCTTGGTGGTCTGCTGGTGCCCTGCCTGGCCTCATGGCACTTCCTGTGAGGGCTACGATCATTACTGTCCTCGAGAGCCGTCTTTTACTCTCTTGTCCCTGGTGCCCTGCCCAAGACCCAGCCCAGAAAAGGCAACTCAATATAAGTTTGTCAAATCAATAAAAGTTTGGAGAAGTGGGGTCATGATGGGGTGCTGCCCCCCCAGGAAAGGCAGACTGGATAGGGGGTGCAGCACCCAATGTTGGTGGGTGGTAAAGATGGAATTGCCCAGGCTTAATGTGAGGGTCTGTGTTCGTCACATGAAAACAAAATTGTTTTCAAATTTAATTCTTTGGGGAAATCATGTTGTCCACTTAAGAGGTGAGAAACGAAGAGGTCCTGTGACTCATCCGACCTGAGGCAGTGTTTTGGGACAGCAGCTATCATGGAAAAGCTAGCCCTGAACTTACTGGGGAAAGAACATGGTGGGGCAGGCTGACCTGGGTGGGAAAGTGACCTCAGACACTGTGGAGCTGTCACTCTGGAGGCTGACAGACCAGGGATAGTTCTCTTTATACGTGGAAACCCCCCTCCCAGGTACCTCTCTGTATCCCAGTTTCCTCATCTATAAGGTGGAGCACATTCCCATGCCATGGTGGTGTCCTCAGGACTAGAGATAGAAATGCCAAGATAAATTGCCTGACAGCCAGCAGTTGTGGGATTTATGTTTGGCTGTCCCTGAGGATGGGGTGAGGATGGGGGTCCTGAACCCCAGCTGGTCCTGATGTCTCCCGCCCAACTATCCACATTAAAGTCTTGTCCTTCCTTCTTTATCTGCTTCCCCTCCCACCCTGGTCCTGATCAGAAATCTTGGAGGGCTGCATGCAGAGCCCATAGGCAGCCTGGTCTCCTCCCACCCTAGCTGGCCACCTGGCCACCTTCTTCTTTCTTTGGGCACTGTTTGGGGAGTTCTCTGTGGGACTGTGGGGCTGCGGTTACTGCAGGGGTCCCTTAACACTTTGGGTCTCAGAGTCTGATGTGAACTTGCCCTAGGCAGACACAGGACAGAGTACATTGGCAGCATTTGTCATCATGACAGTATGGGGAACTGGACAGAGGTGTCACCAACATAGCAAGATATATTTTGGGGAAATAAAAGTCACTCACTTCCATGAATGTTTTTATTTTTCTTTTTAAGAAATATTTGCTTCCCATCAGATAGCCTGAACTTTCAAAACAAGCACAGTCATTGTGAGGGAAAAGGATGTGAGGGTCACTGGAGGGGACTTTCTGTGTGGGAAGCAGTGGCACAGCAGGGAAGGGGAAGGTCTGTCAGAGTGGCCGCTTGGAGGGACCATCCCTGAGAGAGAGCAGGGGACCTGTGGGCCTGTGGGAGAACCTTAGTGGTAGCCTTCTGTGCTGCACCTCTGCAGGACTGATCAAGCATTGACCCACCAAAACCCTGTCACGTCCCAGACATCTCAGAGCCAGTGCCAGGCCAGGGGACCCGAAGGAGCAGTAATATTGGGATGCCTTCAGGATGTGTGAGCTGCCCTGGTATGTCAGGCTATGCCGAGTGCTTTCTATAAACAGTCTCAATTAATCCTGACAATTGGCTTTTAAACACAGCCGTTGGATCCCTTCACTGCTTCCCTCTGCGCTTAGAATAAAATCCAAACCCCTCCCTGTGCACAGTCCATTCTGTGGGTGTCTCTGCTGCTCTTGCTCTTGCTCATCGTGCTCTGCCACACTGGTGCCCTTCTCCTCCCGGAACATACTGGGCCTATTCCTACCTCAGGGCCTTTGTACTTGCTCTTCTAATTGTCCACTGAGACTGTTCCTCAGCTCTTCTGGCTGCTTTCTCCTCATCACTTAAGCTCTCTCTAAAATCAATGAAAAAAAAAAAAAGAAAATCCACATAAAACTTTTGACTCCACCAAAACTTTACTAGCAGCCTTCTATTGACTGAAAGCCTTGCCAATAACATAGTCAATTGACACTATTTTGTATGTTTTATATGTGTGTGTGTGTATTTGTATACTGTATCTTACAATACAATGAGTTAGAGAAAAGAAAATATTAAGAAAATCATAAAAGAGAATACACCTACAGTATTGACAAAAAGTACTCATGTAAGTGGATCTGTGCAGTACATGTTATTCAAAGGTCAACTGTACTTCCCTACATTGCAAGTTCAGGGAGCTGAAGGCAATTGGGGCCAGCCCTCTCCCACAGGGGTGGGCTGATACAGAGGTGTTACCTCAGAGAACCAGTCCTGCTCCCACCCCCATTCCTCTGCAGTAAACCTAGGAGGGTGGCCTTTAGGTAAGTTCATTGTTTGTGGTGAGAAACCATTCTCTCCCCGCCCCACACTCTGAGTACAAGGGAAAGTGCACCTGCCAGCAGGGCCCTGCAGTTGCCTGCCTTAGACTGCCTGAGCAGGGTGAGTGGAAGTGAGAGTGAGGGAGATGTCACCCACACCCCAGCCAGTGAGTCCCAGTAAGACCTCAGCCTTCAGGTGTCATGTGGGGACTAATGCAGGTGAGGTGGGTTGTATTTGTCAGCTCAGTTTTACAGATAGGCATGTGCCTTTCGGGGAAGAGCCATGACTTGTTTGAGGTTCAGGCAAATAAGTGGTGAAGCTGGACTTTGAAGCCGGGACTATCTGACTCGAGACTGGATCATTTCCCACATTTGCTCCTGCCTCCCTTCTTTCCCTCGGCCTTGTCAGGAGCTGGGGGACTTCGGGGAACAGGTGAGGCCTTCTTTCATGGAGGGGAGCAGGTATCGTGTGTTGGCCCCATGATGGCTGCACTGTGGCCGCATGCTGCAGGTGGAGTAACAACAGGGTGAGAGCATCACTTCAACTGTAAAACAGACCTCTAGGGTTTGAGCATCCAATGGATAATTTAATGTTTTGATCTGTTCCTCGTCTCCTGGCTTCCCCTTCCCAGTAGCCAGCCTTAACAATCTAATTCAGCTATGAATGTGTGTGTAAATATAAGAAAAGGTTTTGTAGGATATGCACTAACATGTGAGCAATGGTTGATTATCTTAGGTGGAAGAGGGAATAGGATTGAAGGGGTAATGTAAACAGAACTTTACATTTTTACTCTGTAACTGTGTATTCTTTGACTTTTTTGTGATTATGCATTTGTGTAAAAAGAAACCTAAGGAAACCACCTTGGAACTGGTTTTATGGATGCCTGAGAAGGTCACTGTAAGCCTTTTTGCCCAGCCCCAGCAATATCATACTCTCTTCTTGATGCAGGCTTGGGGAGGAGGCCTGTGGGGACCTAGGGGCCTCCTTTAGGGCCTCCTACTTGTGTTCTTGCCTCAGAGTCCCTCTGAATCTCTGTGTCTCTGGGCAACTTGCTGCAACAAGCAAAACCATGGGTCCTCTCTGAAGGAACTTTGCGAAGTGCGATAATCACTTTTGGAGTTTCCAGTTTAATATTCAACCTGAATCTGAAGCCAGTTTTGAGTGAGGATTGGGGCTGTCCTGCCCTGCTCTTGTTCTGTTTATAAACATGTTTTTCACTCTGAGAAGGAGCTGGTTCCTTTCCTCACAAACAGGATGGGCCTGGGTCTCTCCAGAGGTTAGTGGGCTCAGAGCCTAGAATGAAGATTTAAAAGCTATAGGTAATTTACATATGGAAGATTGTGGAGTACAACCTGGGCATGGCCGTGAGGGTCTGAGTGGGCTTATTGGCCTGGTCTTCATAACCTGGAGAAGAAGGGAATCCTCACCGCTTTCCCCTCCAGAACAGAGCAAACAAGTCTACCCCAACTAGGGTTTCTTTTCTTCTGAGGAAGAAGGTTCCACACTGGCAGCAGGTCTAGTTCTGCTGTGGGCAGGGCTTTTTCAGGGATATATAAAGTGGATGTTGTCAGAAAACCTTATTTTAATTAATGTTTTCTATGGGGGAGCCCTTATAAAAGCAGTATCAGTGGATATACCTTTATATGCAAAGGAAGTGGAGCAGGGACTTCAACAGATACTTGTACACCCACCTTCACAACAGCATTGTTTACTTTGCCAAAATGTGGAAACAACCCAAATGTCCATCAACAAGTGAATGGATAGACAAATTGTGCTCTATTCATATAATGGAATGTTATTTAGCCATAAAAAGGGATGAAATTCTGATAAATGGGGACGGGGTGAATAGGTAGAGCACAGAGGATTTTTTAGGGCAGTGAAAATACGCCATATGATACTCTAATGAGATTGCATGTCATTTTACATTTGTCCAAAACATAGAATGTATAACACCAGGAGCGAACCTTCATTAATCTGTAAATGTTAGGTGATTGTGATGTATCAAAGTAGGTTCATCCATTACAACAAATGTACCACTCATGGTGAGGGATGTTGATAATGGAGGAGTCTGTGCATGTGTGGGGGCAGGGGGTGTATGGGAAATCTCTGTGCCTTTCAGTTTTTCTGTGAACCTAAATCTACTCTAAAAAATAAAGTTGTTAAATTAAAACAAATTTTTTGATGCATGCTGTAAGCATAAATGAACCTTGAGGATATTGTGATCAGTGAAGTAAACCAGACACAAAAAGACAAATATTGATTGTATGATTGCACTAATATGAAGCACTTAGAGTAGTCAAATTCTTAGAGACGAAAAAGGAGAATGGTGGTTGCAGGTGAGTAGGGGACAAGGAGTTAGTGTTTAATGGGCACCAAGTGTCAATTTGGGAAGATGAAAAAGTTGTAGAGATGGATGGTATTACACAAACAATGTGGTACTTAATGCCACTGAACTGTACACTTGCAGATGGTTAAAATGGTAAATTTGTTATGTATATTTTACTATTAAAAAATCATATCTAAGTGCTTTCTTAAGACATCTTCTCATAGTACAGGTTTTATACTATAATTCTTTATACTCATTCTTCTTAAGTTATTATTTGTTTTTTGTATTTACAGATGAATGTTCTAGATTCAAGAGAAACTGGAATGATCTGGCTACTTACCAAAACTCACTGAAGCAAACCCTTGTGACATCTCCAGACGCTTACCCATTGCAGGCAGAAAGGTTAGTCTGAGGTGCATGTGCAGACCATTGTAAAAGCTGAGGACAGTAGCCTTTAGCAAAAACAAATGTTAAATTATGGTATCCTCAGCAGTAGACTTCTGACTCACTGTCTACCTATCAGCCAGAGAGTCTCATATAGCACATTTTACCCATTTTTTAATGTCTGCCTGAATTTCAATAGTTTCCCCAAATGGAAAGACAGCACCAAATCCCCCAATATTCTGGTTCATTTGGATGTAAAAATGTCTAATTCTGAAGCTGTGACAGCTTCATTCATTTCTCAGCCTTCATGTCTACTCCCCACCAGTACTGCTTCTCTGCAGTACCTGCCTGACACCTAGCTGTCTTTTCCTCACGACACACAGCTGGTTAAAGGCCTGAAGCCTTCATGAACTGAAGCAAAGCATCTCTTGACTTAAATCGGTCCTCTTAATCAACCACTTTTCAGAAGGTTGGGCTACAGGGTGGTGGTGTGTGGGAGCCTGATTGGTCTTCCACCACCTAGCTGGGAGTTGTTTTCAGCAGGGTCATGCTCTCTCTCAAAGCCTTCTAGGAACTCGTTTCTAGCCTCCCAATATTTTATAAGCTGTGTGACCTATTATAGTAACTTTATAAGCCCCATGAAAAGATATGCCACACTTCATAATGAATTCTCAGAATATCCACTTACTTTAAATGTAAACCCTCGTAATACTGTAGAGTGAAACAAAAATATGTTTTTTAAAATGTGAACCTTTATACATGCATACTAAGCATGTTTTTTAATCCTATAGGGTATGGCATGGCAAAGAGTTTAGCAGAAAATCTGCTGAGAGGGGGCTGGAGGATTTAGCTGCTCTTTGCTCTCTCCTGGTAGCCCAGGGCCCTCCTCCCGGGTGGGCCCTCCTCCCGGGTACGCCCTGCAATATGGACTCCGAGGGGTACAACTGCTTTGTGGACAGAGACAAGATGAACACTGCCATCCAGGACCTGGGACCCAAGGAACTGAGCTGCACAGAGCTGCAAGACCTGAAGCAGCTGGCACGCCAAGGTTATTGGGCCCACAGCCACGCTCTGCGAGGGAAGGTGTACCAGCGCCTGATCCGGGACATCCCTTGCCGCACTGTCACGCCTGATGCTAGTGTGTACAGTGACATCGTGGGCAAGATCGTGGGTAAGCACAGCAGCAGCAGCCTGCCCTTGCCTGAGTTTGTGGACAACACGCAGGTGCCCAGCTACTGCCTGAACACACGGGGTGAGGATGCTGTTCGGAAGATTCTGCTGTGCATTGCCAACCAGTTCCCTGACATCTCCTTCTGCCCCGCCCTGCCTGCAGTTGTAGCCCTGCTGCTGCACTACAGCATTGATGAGGCTGAGTGCTTTGAAAAGGCCTGCCGCATCTTGGCCTGCAACGACCCCAGCAAGAAGCTGATTGACCAGAGCTTTCTGGCCTTTGAGTCTTCCTGCATGACATTTGGGGACCTGGTGAACAAGTACTGCCAGGCAGCTCACAAGCTGATGGTGGCCGTGTCGGAGGATGTCCTACAGGTCTACGCAGACTGGCAGCGCTGGCTATTTGGGGAACTGCCCCTCAACTACTTTGCTCGTGTCTTTGATGTCTTTCTGGTGGAAGGTTACAAAGTGTTGTACCGCGTTGCACTGGCAATCCTGAAGTTCTTTCACAAGGTGAGAGCTGGGCAGCCGTTTGAGTCAGATAACGTGAAGCAAGACATCCGTACCTTCGTCAAGGACATTGCCAAGACAGTGTCTCCTGAAAAGCTGCTGGAGAAAGCATTTGCCATCCGCCTCTTCTCTCGGAAGGAGATTCAGCTCCTGCAGATGGCCAATGAGAAAGCTCTGAAGCAGAAGGGCATCACTGTCAAACAGAAGAGGTAGGCAGGTCCCTAGGCAGGCAGCCAGGGGCCCACTTAGGGTGGGGCTTTGGTGGAATACATCCCGAAGTCTTGGGCATAAGCTTGTCCTGCCAGCCTTTTATTCTGCCTGCTGCCAGCCAGCCATCTGTGCATGGATAGAAAACCACAGGAAGGGAGAAAGGGCCTTCCTGGTTATAGCCACAGGCTGCTGAGGCAACTGTGGGAATGGAAGGTGCCAGCCACAGTCCTCAGGCCTGAGGCCCATGACAGAGATGAAAGCTAGGTATGGACCACAAGGCCAGAAGATCAGGTAGTGTGCTGAGCCATTTTACAGCAGCCCCTTCTCCATCCCTGCAGCTCTGGGCTCCCTTTCTGCTGGGCCTAGCCCCCTTACCCTGAGCACAGCCCCCTGGGGAACATAGATGGGAAGGGCTCACAGTGTTCTGAGACTCTCCCAGTGGCAGATGACATGACTGTAGGTGTGGAGGCCTTTCTTCCAGGCCAAATGGAGGCACGTTCTGAATATCAATACTTACCACTAACCTCTCCTTGTCTGTGTTTATTTTTCTTCTTCTCCACGTCCGTTGCTTCCTCCTGTTTTTCAGTGTTTCACTTTCTAAAAGGTAGGTCTGGAAACCATATCTCCATGCCTGGATTCTCTGTCTTCTGGCCTGGCTGTCCTGGGGGCCTGCTTGTGCTGGCTCTCATGGCCTGGCAGCTGTTCAGGTGCCATCTGTTTGTCCTTCTGTCTGCTTGGTTGCCTCAATTGTGCTCTCTGCTGGTGCTTGGCTGGCCCTTATCTTGCCAGAGCTGACTCACTTTCTGTCCCCATTTCTTAGAGAAAAGGTGCTTTTGTCCCCACCTGGACTGGGTGCTCTCCACCTCTTAGTAATGAAATGGGAGTGGGCCTCCAGGGGACAGCTCTACCAGATTTCTTCCCAACAGCACCTAGGACCAGGCTTTAGCCTGGTTAAATAGGTGAGAAGTACACTCCAGTCTTAGCTTCCAAGAGAGCCAATGCACGTCCCCGGGGTGGGAGGTTGTGGTCAGGACTGGGGTCACAACTGTGCTCTGAACCTCTCAAAACTCTCCCCAGGCAATTTGTGCACCTGGCTGTACATGCGGAAAACTTCCACTCAGAGATTGTCAGTGTGAAGGAGATGAGAGACATCTGGTCATGGATCCCTGAGCGATTCGCCCTCTGTCAGCCCCTCCTGCTCTTCTCCTCACTGCAGCACGGGTACAGCCTGAGCAGGTAATGCCCAGGAGGCTGGAGGCTGGACCTGCCCTCTGAGGCCCTGAGGCAAGAATTCTGAGGGCCAGTTAGTCCAGGAAGGACAGAGGGAACGGAAGTTTCCCAGCTTCTTTTTCTGCCTGTGCTTTCAGGAGATCACACTGGGTGAGACCCTGCCTCTTTCTGGAGGGCTAGAATTGGGAGGCACTTTTCTGGGCTTCTCTCACTCCCAGGCCACTTCAATTCAAGGGTCATTGCCATGCACGCCACAGCTCCAGGTCCCTGTGTAGGCGCTGTGATGACGTGGGAGGCTTCACTTAGAGAACTGTAAGAGAGGACGACTCAAGGAAACAGGCTGTGTTTCAGAACTCCCCACCCCCACTCTGTCAGTCCACAAGCCAGGAACAGGTTGGCCCTGTGGGGTTGGGGCTGTGCCGGCCTCCCCAGGGCACACTGCCTCCCTGGCAGCTCTGTCAGGTTCAGCCTCCGCTTGAGCTTCATACTACAGGTGGCCTCAGAAACTCTGCCTTGGGTCACAGGTGACCTGACAGAGACAACACAGGCAGAGTTAGCCCAGCCCATGTGGTGGGCACTGTCTGTAGCCCTGCAAATATTATGGCACAGCTGGAGCAGCATCCACCCAGCCCCAACCTCTGTTACATGGGAGGCTCACTGAGGAATGGTTAAGTAGAGCAGCCAGGGCCGCCAGCCAAGCCCTGGGCACCTGGAGCCACCACAACGGCAATCTCAGGCCTCCTTACATGCTCCCCAGTGCCAGCTGGCTCCCACGTGCTTGGACTCTGAGCTTTTCTAGAACAGGGATTTGTTCTTGTTCTTGCTTCCTCGGAGCACCTGGCACGCAGCTCTGTCTGCTGGGGGCCATTTGTCATGCTGCCTTTCCCCCTACCAGAGTGCTCAGCCTACAGGCTGCCTGAGAGAAGTCCTACCTTGGCTTAGAAGAGTACCTAGGCCAGATTGTTGCCAGGTCCTTGGCCACTATGCCTGGTCCCCAGGAGATAAGGAAATGCTGTTTCCAGGCCAATTCACCCCTAAACAGTCCAGGTTTCTCAGACACTGAGGGGCGCCAGTCAGTAGAAGCTGGCTACAGGTGGTATGGGGAAGGGGTATAGGATAACTGCTTCTTGTCAGGACTGAAATGTGTGGTCTCTTCCCAGGTTGTATTTCCAGTGTGAAGGACACGAGCCCACCCTCCTGCTCATTAAGACCACACAAAAGGAGGTGAGCAGGAACCAGAGGGAACCTGGGGTCCTGGCCTCTGAGTTCTGGGGAGTCTGCTGCTCCTGTGCCCCAGGAAGGGTGGGTACTTCTGCAGCCTCCACCCAGCCTTCCTGTGCTTAGGGGCACAGAGCAGAGCCACCCTCCACAAAGAAGTGAATCTAGCTTCCCTGTCTGACCCCCAAGTACCCAGGGCCTCCTTATTTCCCCTGAGGATCCAGGCCCTGCTGAAATGGCCTTGCTACTTAGGAGGAGAATTGCAGAAATGCCTAGTAGCAAGGCCCTGCCTCCCCCCAACACAATGGGCCAGTGCCAGGTGAGTTGACTGCCATCACCTGCCTCCACCCCCTAACAGGTAGTTCTCAGGGCCCTTTCTTCCACAGTACCTGTCTCGTGGAAAGTCCTCTAACACTAGGGAGGTCAGAGCTCATGTGCCCTCATCATGGGGGGTGTCTGCCTGCAGTAAAGGCTTCTTGTTCAGTGGCTCCCAGACCAGTACCCATGGGAGTTTTAGGTTCCTCACACCATTCCAGACTCTGCATCTGGGTTTCCAGAAAGAGCCTGTGCATGTGTATCATAGAAGGTGACTCTGATAGACACTTTGGGAGAACCCTGCAGCCACTGGAGAGACTTGACTCTAATGGTGAAAGCAAGCCCTTTGCTGGCTGACAGGGTTGGAGAATGTTGTCGAGCAGGCGTACCTCCTGGGAGCTTTCATCTGAGGGGCCTCCCAGGTGCTGATGCCCAAAATCAGAGTGTGGACATGGGGCTTGTTCCCGTGCTTGAAGGCCCAAATGGAAACACCCCAAACAAGCTGATGGCAGCTACCCACCCCCTACTCTTACTGCCAATCCCATGCTTCCCAACTCTGACTCCCACACCTCTCTTTACCTTCAGCCCTTCCCCTCCAGTCGGGGTGGAGGATGCTGTGACAATACCACTCCACCCCAAGCTGTGATGGTACAGTGGCCCCTCAGCAGGGCCTGAGAAGGGGATGCTCCTGCAGGCCAGCACAGTGCAGCATCACCGTGGGTCTTTCTCCTCAGGTGTGTGGAGCGTACCTGTCAACAGACTGGAGTGAGAGAAATAAGTTTGGAGGCAAACTGGGCTTCTTTGGAACTGGAGAATGCTTTGTGTTTAGGGTAAGTGGGTCTCCCTGCATGTGCTCTACGGTCAACAGGCCCAGCACCTTCATCAGCCCCACTTACATGACTTTATTTACCTATGTTATCGCAGTTACCCCACAGGATGACCTCCCCATTTTCTTCTGGTTTGTGATCATTAGACCAATAGTTCTGTGAGAGCAGGCGGCCCTTACCTGCCCCGTATGGCACTGTCTCCCCAGCCCGAGGCATGAGGCCTCGTGCATAAAGGGCTTCAATGAAGTTTTGTGGGAGGAAAGTGACCAGAAGGGCCCTGTAGGGCATAGTGTACCTGCTCCTCATACTGCCTTTCCTCCCTCAGTTGCAACCAGAGGTCCAACGCTATGAATGGGTGGTCATCAAACACCCAGAGCTGACTAAGCCAGTGTCCTTGGAGGCCACTGCCACTCCATCCCTCCTCTCCCAGTCATCCTCGTCCTCATCCTCAGACCCTGCTGACCGCCTCTCACCGTTCCTGGCCACCCGGCACTTCAACTTGCCCTCCAAGACTGAGTCCATGTTCATGGCTGGGGGCAATGACTGCCTCATCATAGGTGGGCATCTCCCTCCATCTCAGGCTGGTCTCACTTAGCCTGGGAGAAGGGTACAGGGTAGTGGGTGGCCAAAGCCCCTGGGTCAGCCATTGCTGACCCAGATGGCAGGAGCCTTACCTGAAGTACAGACAGCCCCCATGATGGCAGAGGAAGAGAGCAGGCATGAGGAGTGGGAGTGGGGACAGGTGTTCTGGGTAAACTGGCTGGGAAGGGGGTTCTAGCCTAGAGTTTAGACCCCAGCTGAGGACTGATGGGCTTTAGAGATTTGAAGGTCAGCCTTGTGGTTTTAGGCCTGTGGCAGGGCTGGGGCCGGGACAAGTGGCGATGCTTGGGGGCAGGAGGAGAGCACCTCCTGGGCAGTGCCAAATGGGCAGCCACTGACTGAGCATCCTCCAGGTGGAGGGGGCGGCCAGGCTCTCTACATCGACGGGGACCTGAACCGGGGCCGCACGGGCCACTGCGACACTTTCAACAACCAGCCCCTCTGCAGTGAGAACTTCCTCATCGCTGCTGTGGAGGCCTGGGGCTTCCAGGACCCTGACATCCAGTGACAGGCCTGTCCTGACGGTGACCGAGCTGCTGCTGTGGGATGGGGTGGTGGGGCAGTGGCCGGGCCCTCTCTTCAGGGAGGAGTCAGTGAATGAAGATCTCACCACATGCATGGGCAGCGTTGGGATACGGCCGGGGCTCTGATACTGGGCTGGCAGGGGTGCCAGGGCCTCAGCTGGCCAGGCCTATGCCTCCGGACCCTGCTAGGATATGCTTAGACTTGCCACTGCCTCCACCTTGGACTCACACCCTGGCTCTCTGTGGGCCATGCTGTGCCCAAGGCTTGGGAGGGACTATGTCCTGTAGGCCCTGTTCATTTCTTCGTGGTGGGGACTGGACTGGAAAGGCCGCAGGAACCCTGCCAAGTGTGGGTTTATAGCACCCCCTGCTGGCTTCTGTGCAGGGCCCTGCAGCCTCCTGCCTGGCCTGCTCCTCTGGCTCCCCAGTTGTGTGTTGGTGCTGAGAAGAGACAGGTGCCCTAGGGACTATTTCTTGGCAGGAGCATCTGCCTGGAGACTCTAACCCGGTTTTCTCCTTCCCATGCTGGCCTCCAGGGGCTGCCTCTTGTATGGTTAACTACAAGGTGAAAGAGGTTGGGAAAGGCAGGACCTGTGCTGAACTCTGGGCTCCTCCCAAGGGAGGGCCAAGGGCCAGTGGGATGAAGGGCTAGAAAGGACATCATATGTCCTTGTGTTTCTGCAGAGCCTGAAGCTTCTGCTGGGCCTCATTGTGCTTTCACACCTGGAGAGGCCTCCCAGGATGGCCGGAGGAGGGCCCTCTGACCTCAAACCAGCCAGCTCCATTTCCAGGGGCCTGCCTGGAGAAGCCTGGACCAACAGAGCCTTCTCCAAACCTCCTCCTCTCCAGCCAGAGCCTCCTTAGCTCTCCTACAGTCTTTGTTGTGGCCCCATTTCTCCCCCATGTCACTGCGATGTCCTGGTTCCCAGGATCCCATCCAGACTCCAGCCTGTTGTGTTTGGCTTATCTAGTCCTACCCACCTCCACTTCATTGGGGCTCACAAGTTCATGTACTAGATCTGCACCCTCCCCAGGTCCCTGCCCACTTGGCACCTTCAACACAAGCCCCTCTGCATCCCTCTCACAGCACTGTGGTCAGCTATATAGCATGATTTTCTTGTGCTGCCATCTCTCCCCTTCTTCCCTGTCCTCCCTGGCTTTACAGTGGACTCATGCATAGTAGGTGCCAAGTAAAGATTAGGTGGGGAAAGCCCTCCTACCCTATGACCCCCCTCAACTGGTCCTGAAGGCCTGGGCACCCTGGAGGGAAGAGAGGAAAAGCGGACACCCAAGTGGCTGTGCTGCGGCAGCCAGGACCAAGGGTTACTGTCCTTCAGCCAGCCCCCTCAGTGTTCCTGCATACCACACCCTGCCCAACTGCACACTGGGCTTGCTCTTCCTGTGGAGTATTTGTCCTCCTTCCATCCACCTACTCAAATCTCTTCAGACCACAGTGGGGCTGAAGAAAGGACCAGGAAACTTGCGTGGCTTTGGACCAGCTAGTGAACCTGTTTGGAACTCAGTTTTCCTCACTGTAAAATGGGGCCAGTCATCCCCCTCTGCTGTCCCCCAGGACTGTTGAAAGGCTGTGAAAGAAAAGGTGGTGGGTGGCGTAGTTTACCCACCAAATAGCACTGCTTACCCACCACCTAAGATCACTACAGCCGTCGCCACTCCCCCTTCCTCTGAGCCCCCGCAGCTCTCACCTGTATTTTGGTGTTCATTAAACATGGTCTTATTACATAGTCCAAGTTTGGTCTCTTCAACCAGAGGGCCTGCAGGGGCTCCTGCATTCCAGGCTTGTCACCAAATGGGATGCGGGAGGCTTGTCAATGTTTTATCACTGGAATGTTGAAGGTGTTTTGAAAACGTAGCCTTTCAGAAGCAGCTAAAAGTATATTTCAGTACTATTTGCATGGCTCTCTCTGCAAACTTCCTAAACTGGGGGATTCTTTTTCTGGAAAATCCAGAGGATTCTCTGTGGTTGCCCCAAGGCCCCTGTTGAGCCTTCTCAGAGATCCAGCCCAGGGAGAGCAATTGCTACTTAGTCATGATTTCTGTCTCATGAGATCTTTGTGTGTGTATGCAAAATGGTTTCTTCGAATTTCTTTTTTATAATTAGTTTATTTTTATTGTATATTTTGCCATTACCACTTATCCCCCTTATACCCTCTTCCACCCCACTCTGAATTTCTTATCTTCCTCATTTTTTTTGCTAAACTAAAAGTCATTTGTGATTATTATCTTTATTTTTCTTATTGTCTTTATATATTAGATTTTCCCGAACAGCACATAATTTGTTAATATTCTCTATTATTTCCTCTTAGTTATTTATTATTAACTTTTGATGTTAAAAACTAGCCAAAGTTGGGAAGTGGGAGGGGATAACAGGGGGAGGGGAGAGGAAAGGATTGTCAGGGAGCATGTATAAAGGACGTGTGGGCAAAGGGACAAAGCCAGAGAGGGGTAGAATCGACAGTGGGAGGTGGGGCTGGCTGGGGTGGGTGGGAGTGATGGGGAGAAAATGGAGACAATTGTACTTAACAACAATAAAAAGAAAGGGGAACAAAAAGGGAAATAAAAATATTTTTCTGTAAAAAAAAAAATTAGCCAAAGTTTCATGGACTTACATAATGAGTTATTATTTTTCTACAAATGTTTGAAAAGTTTATTTTAAAAACAAAACTCAATTAGTTTAAACCACTTCATTCAATGATTCATTAAATGGACTGTGTGCCTTTAGGGCTTCAGAAAATCAGTTTTTCAAAAATAATTTTTAATGTCAGAATAAGCCATTTTATTTTGCAGAGTTTTAATTATTGAATTAAAATTTGTTTTTCAGTCCTGACTGGTATAACACAGTTGGTTCAGTGTTGTCCTGCAAAGGAAGCATCACCAGCGAGAGAGAAACATCAATTGGTTGCCTTCTCGTATGCCTCCTGATGGGGATTCAAACCCATGGCCTTTCAGTTTATGAGACAGCACTCCAACTGACCAACTGAGCCACACTGGCTAGGGCAATAGATTCAGTTTTAACTTTTTATTTTGAAATAATTTTAGATTTACAGAGGAGTTGCAAGATGGTACAGAGTTCCATTTATTCTTTCCCCAGCTTCCTCCAATGTTAATATTGTACGTTTATCAAAACAAAGAAATTAACATTGATATAATGCTATTAACTTAAACTGTATCCTTTTTGCCCTGGCTGGTGTGGCTCAATGGATCTAGCACCCGCCGATTGATGTTTCTCTCACACATCTCACACATCAACGTTTCTTTCCCCCTCTTTCCCCCTCTTTTAACCTCTCTCTAAAAATAAATAAAATGTTTAAAGAAAAACAAACCTATAACCTTTTTTGTCCTGAGTTTTTCTGCAGTCTTTTTTCTGTTCCAGGAATAGATTTGATTTTTATAGACATCTACTTGCCCACATTTTTATAAACCCAATGTAATCAAATGCACAAGACTTAACACTGGTTTTAAAAAATGCCTCTAGCCCTGGTTGGTGTAGCTCAGTGGACTGAGCACCTGCCTATGAATCAAAGGGTTGCTGATTCCATTCCCAGTCAGAGCACATGCCTGGGTCACCGGCCAAGTCCCCAGTAGGGGGAGTGTGACAGGCAACCACACACTGATGTTCTTCTCCCTCTCTTTCTCCTTTCCTTCCTCTCTCTCTAAAAATAAATAAGTAAAATCTTTAAAATAAATAAATGCCACTAATTAGGTAGTACAGCAACTGTCTCAAACATGTGTCCATATATTTTGACTGTTTTCATCCCTTCCTAAATGTCTTGTTTGCACAGAGAATTTACCAAATGGAGCGGGGGTACCCAGCATACCTCATGGTGCTTCCCCTGACAACACTAAATAGGCAGAAAAGTGTGGGGATTTAAGAAAACTATCTGGTGTAGCCATGACTGGTGTGGCTCAGTTGGTCATTGTCCTACAAGGGGAAAGGTTGAAATTTTATCCCTGGTCAGGGCACATGCATGGGTTGTGGGTTTGTTTCCTGGTTGTGGCATGTACATGAGGCAGCCAGTTGCTCTTCCTCTCTCACATTGATGTTTCTCTCTCTTTCTCCCTTCCCTTCTAAAAATAAATCTTTTTTAAAAATCTGGTGTAAAAAGTGTATGATCTTTGTTAAATTAATGTCAAATTGTACTCAGGGAGTTAGGTACAGCATCATGTGATTTGTTACTAAAGATGAAATGCATCCACGCACTTGCAGACATGCTCGCAATCACGTAGAACTTGTCAGCACTGCACTTGAGACTGAGGAAGCAAGTCGGTGGTCACACTGACCCCTGACATGACAGACATACCAACCAACTAAACCTCCTACTTCAGGTTGTTGAATCCACAGGTGCGTTACCTGGCTGCTCAGTTCACCAGAAGAAGCTGTCTTGTCAGAAGCCCCCGATGAGAGGGATACTGCAGTCCGGCAAGGCCATCAACAGCAGGGTGAAGTTCACGTAGTGCAAGCCGTCTTAGCCTGTTTCTTTGTTTTTTTATTTTTTTAAGAGATGAAAGGAGAGAGAAAAACATCAGTTTGTTGTTCCACTTATTTATTCATTAATTGGTTGATTCTTGTATGTTCCCTAATCAGAGAGAACCCACAACCTTGGTATGTGGGAATGACACTCTAACCAACTGAGCTACCCAGCCAGGACCAGTCCCAGCCTGTTTTTATCTTCATGCAAAGAGACAGGAGCAAACCTTTGCTCTATTTCAGACTGAAGCGCATTGCCTGGCAAAGGACGTGTTTTGTCAAAAACGTATGAGTTAAAGATTGAAGAGAAAAATATGTGAATAATTTTTACTTTCCATTCCAGTGAAGGATGGTTATTGGCTGAAACATGGATAACTGGACTGACACTGGCACATGTAAATAAATGTGGTAAAAAAATTGCGAGGACCCTATAGAAATTAATGTGTAGTGAGAGAATGTGTGGCTTTCCAACACAATCCAACTTTAGAAAAGTGAAACTAAGTGATTTAGTAATATGTTTGGTCAGTTTTCATTTGAATCATAAACAAAATGAGAACAAATGCAACGACATCACTGTGAAATATCTGTTGCAAAAACGTTACAGTGAGATGGGGAACCCTGGGTACACTGCCTTCAGAACTGACATCTGTGCAGGAGAACGAAGCCCCGGACTTGGAGGAGTATTGCTCCCTTGAAGAATTTAAAACACCGCATTAACTCAAAAAGTAAGAAAAGTTTCTCTCCACTACAGGAGATGTATGTCCTGCTCCATGTGCTGCCAAGGCTAGTGTGAGCCAAGTCCTTCCCTGATTTTGTTTTGCTTTCTCTTGTTCACACAGCCTGTCATGTAGATGCACTCCATAAATAAGAGGAATGAGAGGAGTGGTCGAATGTCTCAGTCAAGAATTGCTTGGACCCCTGTCTGTCATGTGGAAAACTCAGTTATCAAGAAGTCATGCTCATCAAAACGAGAGCATTTTATCTGAAAGGTTATATAAGTCAATATTAATGTCTTTTCTAATACCCAGGATTTTAATTCGGTGTACCTATACAATATAAAGGAAAATGAAAACCTTTTTTCTCCATCTGTCTGTCTCATCCCAGTGCCCTTCCCTTCCTGTAGCTGCTGTGGATGAGGGGGGACTGCTTTTGCCCCACTCCCGTGAAACTGCTGCTTCTCTCTTTCCTTCAGCTTCCCCACTCTGTCTCTCAGGATGGAGACAGGCTCCAGCCCCTCTCTTCCTTTGCAGCTGCCTCAAGACAAAGACCCTGTCAGCTCTCCTGCTGCCTGCTGCCCTGATGGGTGGGGCCCTGGCCAGGCCCAGGTTTGAAAAGTCCTGATGGGACAGGTGAATGGAGGCTTGGTGCCAGCTGTTTCAGTTTCTCCTCTGAACCCACAGCCTCTGCCTCCGGGCCTTTACACAGGCCATTTCCCACCCCTGAGTCTGCTGCAGAACCCCTGCACCAGGACGCTTTCCCTGAGGCTCCTGTTTCCCAGGAGACAGCACTTTTGCTAGTCTCCCCATTCCTTCCCCTTGAGACTGTCAGCTGGAGAGCAGGAGCCCCCATATGGTCCCGCCTGTGCTGCTGGTGTCGTCCAGGGTGATTCTGGACGACACCAGAAATGGGCTTGCACTGGTCTCACATGGCAGTATGCATTTCTGGGGTCTGTGGTTGGGGAGTGCCGCCAACATTCCCAGCAGTAACAGCTTTTTGCTGTAAGCATGCTTAGGGTCTTCTTGTGATTGACATTAAGACATTGTAACACAGGGCAGAATTGGTGAAAATTGCCCTGGCCTGGGCCTGGGTGCAGAGAAGTTTCTGAGAAACTGCTGATGTTTCAGAAGACTGCCTGCCTCAGGCCAGGTCAGCTTGACAAGGTGGGAACACCCTCTCTCCTCCTCCCACCAGCACCTCTTGTGGGCCCCTTTTTGGACCTGGTCCATAGTAATCATGTGCCAGCTATGGAAGTGCTTTGTTTTTTATCTTTTTAAGACTGAATTTAACTATTTTATTTTATTTTATTTTATTTTATTTTTAACCCTCATTTGAGGATATGTTTATTGATTTTAGAGAGAGGAAAGGGAAGAGACAAACATCGATTGGTTGCCTCCCATATGCCCCTCAACCAAAGATTGAACTCACAACCTAGGTTCATGCCCTGGCTTGTAATAGAACCTGCAACCTTTTGAGCCACCTGGACAGGGCTGAATTTAACTATTTTATTTTATTTATGTTGAATTTAACCATTTTAAA